CTTCACAGGAAACGTGCCGTGCCTGCGTGCCCCACAACACTAGACATTCTCTTACAAGTGCTTCTCCTCTTTTATCGTGGTTTGTCTCACTCCACTTTGAAAGTTTACATCTCTGCGATTGTCACATATCAGCCTCCTCTCTCGGATGCAGCAAGTTTGTTTCAACATCGTGTACTGAAGCAACATGCGCCCAGCTTACAAGCTGCCCACTCCAGAGTGGTCTCTTCAGCTTGTTTTATGTAAACTGATGTTGCCACCCTTTGAGCCCTTAGCTTCCACCTCTCTGTGACTTCTTACCTTCAAGACAGCTTTCTTTCTCGCTGTCACTTCAGCGAGCAGGGCAAGTGAGCTCACAGTGCTCCAGGTGGACTCACCATTCATACAGTTCCATCTGGATAAGGTTACCCTCTTCCCAGATGTTTCCGTCCTTCCGAAGGTGGCCACTTCCTTCCACCTTAATCAGCCAGTAGTCTTGCCTATGTTTTTTTTTCCAAATCCTACAACTAATGTTGAGAAAGCACTCCATTCCCTGGATGTCAAACAGGCATTAGCCTACTACATTTTCTGCACGTCATCCTTTCGTTCCTCTCTGAGACTCTTTGTGTCATTTCTGGAACTCTCCATGGGTTCTCCGGTTTCCTCTCAAACTTTCTCCAGATGGGTGGTGGCCACCATTAAGCTTGTATATGAACTCGCTCATAAGTCTCTACCCACCACCATTAGAGCCCACTCGACCAGAGCCATAGCTTCCTCTATGGCATTTTTCTGTGGTGTTGACCTTGCTTACGTCTGTAAATCTGCCACATGGTCTACACCCTTCATCTTTGCAGCCCACTATCGCCTCGATGTTTGAGTGAAAGCTGAGGCTGCTGTTGATAGAGCTATACTGGCTTCTGCTTTGTCGTGACGCCACCTCCAGGTAAGTCAGCTTGCTAGTCACCCATTAGTGTGCATTCATAGAGGATGCGAAGAAGAAAAGAGGTTACTTACATGTAACTCTGGTTCTTCGAGTAGTCCTCTGTGAATTCACACGTCCCACCACCCTCCCCACTGTGCGTCCCAACTCTCTACGGTTGGCATGTACAGCGGCAGACAGTTCTACAGAACTGGCACACCCAGTGCCGGGGTGGTGATGTAATCTCCGTGGGAGGTTCCTCAGCACAGAGTGCGTAAAGCTATAGAAGCTTCCGACTTACTCCGCTGAAGCGCAGGCTAACCCATTAGTGTGAATTCACAAAGGACTACTCGAAGAACCAGAGTTACAGGTAAGTAACCTCTTTTTCTTTCTGCAGCCATGGTTTCGATTGGCACTTTTATTGACAAAGATTTCTTTTTTTAAAAAATCATCTTAAGTGATTCATGCCACAGCTGTAGTTTATTAGAATAAAGAGAGAATTTCACTTCCCTTATTCTTCTTCATAGGAGCAGGGGAAGCATTCAATTTGTTGATATCCTGAAGTGATTTGCCTATTAAGCCAATTCACAATACCGGAAATTGCAACCAGAAGGACTCTGACAGCTGCAAGGCTTGATTTTAGTCCTAGCTGTCACACACACTTGGAATGGGTAAACTAAAGCATACCAATTGACACCAAAAAAGTAGAAGCCCTTGACAGGGGCTCAAAAAGGTGAAGGTTGGGGTGCTCAAGGTGCAAATTGGTCCACTCTGCCAATTATGGCTGTATGGTCACTGGAAAAAAAGAGTCAGTCCGTCCGTTCACACAGCATAACAAACAGTGGGAGAAATACCAGTCTGAACAAGCCCTCAGCTTTGCCAAGAACATGTGGTGTTTCTTGAGTCTTCTGGGAATAGTTTTAACATTGACTCTCAAGGTGAAGAACCATTGATTTGTTGTTGTTGTTGTGTGCTGTCAAGTTGCTTCTGACTTACATCAGCCCAGTGGATTAATCACATCCAGAAGGCCCTGCTTCCTTTATTGAATCAAACCATCTCATCTTGGGCCTTTCCGTTTTTCTATTCTCTTTAAATTTTCCTATTTGTTTTCGGTGCATCTTGTTCTGTAGGAATCACACTATTCTGAACTGTGAATCTGAAAGAGTTTTGAGTATTTCTAAACGCTTAGGCATATGAACGCTTCCATCACTTGTGGTACAGTAATCATTTTACACAACACCCATTAGCCCATTAGAGATTTTTTTTCCTTATTATTTGTGTTTGTGTAGTGCATCTTGACTGAGGTTAAATGCTGTCTGTGTTTAAGGTTCAGTTACTATATATTTCCTTGAATTTCCTGAAAATTTTTTAATGACTGTTTACTTCAAGTAGCTTTCCAAAACTGCTGGATGACTCAGTGGTTTAGATCTCTGACTGCAGAGCTAGAAGCTGGGAGTTCAATTCTCCACTGTACCTCCTTGACAGTGGCTGGACTCAAGCTGTAGGGTCCCTTCTGTTGGAGTATGCAGATCAATTGTGTCCCACTATGCAGTGGGTGATTCTGCCAGTCATTCAGTTCTACCCTGCTATTGGGGTGCTGTTGTGCATTGATCACTTCCTGCCCGTCTTCTCTCTTGTATGCCTTCTTCCTTGAAGAAGGGCCTTTTTCAAGGTGGAGATTGCCTGAGCACATGCCATCTGATTGCTCTCTCTCCATCCACACTTGTATCCATGCCATCCAGCTTTAGGGGATGGTTTACCCAGTTTAGAACCATTCTTCAAAGAAACTTCCTTGGCATATGTAAGACAAATGCCTTCTTTTGTTTTTTACACAAATGCTATATTTTGACATTTGCTACTGAAACTAAAGTCTATATAGCTAATAAACCTTTTCTGAAGTCATTACAAGTTAACTCCATGTAATTTAAGTTACATTAAGTACTCCATGTACTTAATTCAGCTCATTGAAGATTATTGGTCAGAACATACGGTGATCTCTAACACCTTCCACCTCTGCAGTTCAAACATCATCATCATCGCTGTTGTTGTTGTTAATGTTGTGCTTGTTTTATACTGGACCTGCTGTTGGTTTTTCATATTGTCCAAAGACTCCATTCCACATTTATGAGATTTTAACTGTTCATCAGTATGGGAGCCTATGTCCTTAAGATTCACTTTTGACTTCCAATATTCCTTCCTGAGCCAAGTTTTGATATTTTATTTCATAGTGTTCAATTTTCTGAGTTCTCAGAAGAAAAGCTGTTATGTATTACATTTCAAATTCTGCACAACGAGAAGGCATAATACAGATGTGAGATTATGGAGCTGTTAAGGGTTTCTTAAGATGCAATTTTTGTCTGAGTAAAATACCTGGATACCAGTGCAATTTTATCTGTTTAATAAAGCTTCTCTACGTTTTGTTTCATATTTCTGATAGGGAAGTGGGGGGGTGAGGCCGAGAAATAGTTGATGGCCTAAGACTACCCAGTGAGTTGATGGCAAAGGCAAGATTTACATTCTGGCCTTTTTTAAAACAGCTCACTCTCTTAGGCATTGCTCAATAACCTATCTTCTGTTTGATACCACTGGTAACAATTTTTTTTAGCAGTTTCCATTTTAAACCCTGATAGCCAAAAGTTTGACAGGAAGATGACCAAAAATTTTATTGTTCATGGGAAGATTTAATTGTTACATCAGCATTTCAGTATTTTGTTTTGTTTGTTACTGGTGTTTTGATATCAGTTGTGATTTACATTAGGAATAACTCCACCTTTTATATTTCTGCCTGATTTTGTGGAGGGTTGTTTAATGTAATTTAATTAATTTTGTAATACAGTGCTTACTCCATTGAAATAGTCAATTTGATGCTGGTTTTAAAACTATTACATATCTTGTAAATATTGTGTTCTTTTATATCTATATATGTCTTAAACAAAGATAGCATTTGACAATATGCTACATGGGTCTAAATTTTAGATGTTGTTAGGTATTTCAGAATGGGATGGATTTTTATTATGCTATATAATGTAAGGTTAGGCAACTTTGGCCCTCTAGATAAGTTTGGACTCCATATCCTGCATCAGTGTCTGGACTACTTAAGGCTAATGGGAATGATAGGCCAGAAACATCACGGGGACCACGTTTGCCCATTTCAATGCGATCTGTTAAAAAAATGATATATTGTTAACTGTTCTTGGGTCTTTTGATGTTTGTTTATTAGGCATGCGGTGTTTGTGGGAGGTTTTAACACCAAATTCCAGAATCCAAAAGCTTTATGCATTTTTCTGAACTTTGAAATTAAGTCTGAAAAGCAGCAACTGAAGATGGACCAGTTCCTATCAAAGTCATTTGCTCGCTATCTTGTTTCTATATAAAGACATAATTCAAATACATGTCTTTTACTTTCTAAATATTTTATTTCATTAAGAATGTAATAACAATTAGAATGATTCAATTTTATAGAATTGGATGTTTTGTTTCTCTTATGTTAAATATAATCTGCTTTGAATATATTGCCACTTAACATAGGACCATTGATGTTCACATAAATGTTTCTCTCCCTAGTTCCATCTTTACAGCACAAATAAAGTAATATAAAGAAAATAAAGTATTAAAGACCTTGTCAGTAATAGAGATACAATTTGATCCATAATTCCCAGTTTTTATGAAACAAAATACTGTAGTAATCTTGAGACCAAATACTGTAATACTTTTAAGCATGGACCAAAGTATCATGTCATAAGAACAATTTATTTTTATTTGCATTAATTAATTTTAGTATCATTTATATTCTCTCAAGTGCTAACAGTGGTGTCAAAGTATGTATTAGAATATATAAAATTAATACTTGGTTATTTTCTCAAAGTAATTGATATTGTTTGACGTCAGAAATATTATGGGTTCCTGTATTTGGATAGTTATTTTAAGATGAGACGGTGCATTTAACTTGTCTGTGGAGTATTACAAAGAGCTAAAAATAGTTGTAGTTATTTAAATGTTAAGAACTGTTTAAGTGTTTTTCTTGTTTCAGCTCTAATGAAGAGATAGCTGCTTTGTATAATTGTTTTGAGTTTGTTTTTTCTTCTTTGTTCCCAAAATGAAATAGCTCCAGTGGCTTTTAGACAACTATGAAACAGCAGAAGGAGTGAGCCTCCCCAGAAGTACCCTCTACAACCATTACCTGAGGCACTGTCAGGAGCATAAATTGGACCCAGTCAATGCTGCCTCTTTTGGAAAACTAATACGGTCAATTTTCATGGGCCTACGTACCAGAAGATTGGGAACCAGGTTAGTATAAGGAAACAAATGTTCTTAATTAATGGGAGATTTGCTCCTTTTAATAGCAAGTACAGTGTCCCTCTGCCAACAGAAACAGGACCAAAATAGTGCCTACATTTTGCTACCCACTATATGCTGCTATCAAATGACAACCTTCACTAAGTTTTGGGTTGCCTTTTAATTTGTAAAAAGGGCTCCATCCTCCAAAATATCCTTTTTGTCAAAATCAGGCAAACAGCCAGTGTTCCATTTTGACTCCTACTTAAACACTGCAACAGCTAAAAGGAAATTTACACTCACTGATTTTAAAAAAGTTAAAACACCTTTGGTGAAACATACACAGCTTGTATTATAGTGACACAACCTTGACCAGTAGTTGAAATCATGGTAAGTCACAGTAGAGTAGGTACATTGAATCAATGAGGATTTGGTGAGTCAACTGCTCCATATGCTCCATTGATTCACATGGTCCTACTCTAGTTACAGCTTATTTTAGTGTAGTAAGTCATAAGTAGAGCATCAGTGGAACCTATGGAAGAATTGACACAACAAGTCTCCACTAATTCAGTGGGCCTACTAGTTTACTATACCTAGCCGCAAGATTTTAGCATATGTGTCCCAGTATTGCCAGTGGTATGTGTGGTATAATACATTGTGATTGCTGTTTCCAAACAATAACAGCCAGTATTTCAAAACCAAAAAAAGTTTTGTTTAAAAAATGAATAAGAAGATTCAATATTAAAAGGTTACATTCTTATTATAAAGCTGAAGTATCCTTTACTTCTCTCCTTTTTAGCTTAAGCACATCCATTTCTTTATAATATAGAATACGTCTATGCAGATGCTTGGTGATACATAGGTTCCAGTGACATAACACTGCATAGCTCTTATCTAACCTCATAACTCCTACTCTTTTCCCCTCATTGCTTCTAGTCTCTAAGACTCTGATGTCACATTAACAGCCTCACAACTGAATTCCCATCTTCGCACTTTGTCTCCAACTCAAATTCAAATTTAATTAAGCTAAACTAAACTGTGTTCTTAGACACACACTTGCTTCTTATATATATAACAGCATCTCCACAGCCAGGCAGCATACCAGCCTATCAGAAGGCAGTCCTGTCAACACACACATTCCATTCCCCCTCTCAATTGTTCTTTTTAAGCAGACTCTCTTCACACACATCCAATTTACCACTGCCAATCAAAATCCAATCACTCACCATGCATACCAGTATGTATGTATATATACAGTAGTGCCTCGCTTAACGATGTTAATTGGTTCCCAAAAGAACATTGCTATGGGAAAACATCGCTAAGCGAAACACCATTTCCCATAGGACTGCATTGAAAATCGGTTAAACCGACAGTTCAATGCATTCCAATGGGGGGGGGGAATTCACCAAAAATTAACGAAGAGTCAGAACAAAGCCAAATTAAGTTTGCCAAGGTTTTACAAGGTGCACTAACGATCCCAAGCATTTAAAACAGTTTTTGAACATTGTAAGACACTTTTAAAATAGCGAAAACGGAACATCGCTAAGTGAAACAGGGTACCTAAACTGTCACCGCTAAGCGAGGCAAGGTCCCAAACATCACTATGCAAAATTTCCCCATAGGGAACATTGCTAAACGGAGCGCAAAATTGCTCCAAAAACCTCATCGCTAAGCGAATGCATCATTAAACGAGGCAATTGCTAAGCGAGGCACCACTGTACCAGTATGTATGCATATAAAAGACGCAAACAGTATGGAATCACCAGACCCCCATTCCCAAAATGCTTATATGATGTTTTGGAGTCTGAAGTGGTGCAGGAAAGGGCAATCCATACAACTAAGTTTGAAGAATTCGAGGAAATGTTACCATGTATTGTGCATGTATAATTTAGAAAATGGAGAGTAATGGGGACAAGATCAGAAGGTCTGTGAAATTAATCATTGGTAGGAAAAATAAATAGAAATTTTCCTCACCCTTGCATATTATTAGTACTTAGGTTGATCCAGTGAAGCTCAATAGTGGGAGATGCAGATCAGATGGATGGCTATATGGGACTCTTATTTCATCCTATGTCACATGACTGCTGTGATCTTTTTAAAAGCTTTCATATCCTTCAATACCTCTGGCTAACTCAGAACTTCTTTTAACTTTAATGTTGTAAAAGAGCCAGACAGTGCATTGATAGTGACATGTCTTGACCAATGTATCTGATATTATGTGATTCTTCATAGTGGCCTCTGTGAAGGCACACAAATAGGTTTATCCTGCACCTGCGCAGGACGTTCGGAAGATTCTAGAGCTGAGGAAAAAAAGAGACAATTAGTTGCCCCCTCCAACAGGGTATGAGCTCCGCCTCCTCAACCTTCCTTTCAGTTCCTCTTTTCCACCATTCAAGTAGGACGTTAGGAACTAGAGCGCTAAGGAAAGTGATTTTAGCTTTGCTAAATCTATCTTTTTGCACCTTTCTCTTTATTTTTCTATTATTCTATTTTGTTGTTCAACGATAGAACCTCCAGTTTTTCTCTTTTTATCCATTCTATCGTTTCCCCCCTCCCCTCGATGGTTCCCCCCTTTTATTCTCTTTTATTTTATGGCAAGTAGGAAAAAAGACAAAGAGAAGCCTAAGAGGCAAAAGGAGTTAACCAAACCAGCTACTGCACCTCTTTCCATGCCTCCTATTCTTTGAGGGACAATATTGGGCTTTTTGACAGGGAGGAGCGTACCATACCTCCAGCCCAACAAGCTCATGACATTCTGAGCATGTCTCCGAGTTTGGGCCAATTTGGGGCTGTTGCACCGGCCAGCCCGGCCATAGCCCCTTTCAGCCCTCGATCCTCAGGGTGGGCAGATATCGAGACTGAATCGGAACAGGAGTCTGCTCCATTCACTCCTAGGAAAAGAAAGGAGAAACGCAAATATGACTCTCCATACCAGACCTCCAGGCTTGAAGAGCAATGTTACCATCCAGAGGGTTTACCTCAATATGCTTATCCATATCGTGACCAATACCATCCCTATCCGTATCAAGGCTATGGCTACCATGATCAATACAGAGGGTCGGGCTACTCGCCACCACCCTGGTACCATTCCGTAGCCCCTCTATTCCAAACATCATTGCAATACCAAGGGGATGTTTCCACCCCCCCAAGCTGCACCATCCCGAAAGAGACAGATGATACCAACGCCTTCCGCACCTCCTAAACAACTCAAGCTTCACAGGAGCCACTCCTCAGTACAGGCTACCACGCATTAATCGGGTCCTCACGACCATGATATGGAACCTTCCTCTGTATTTACCCAATCGGATGTTGACCCTATACTGCCAGCCCCAGTACCACGACCACCACCATCGATCTCTCAGTCATCTCATGGTGCCAACTCATCCTCATCTGATGAATCCGAGGCTCGTGATGTGGGTGCCACTGGCAATCTTCCACAGTCATTGGAGGATTATATGTCATATGCGCAACTTATCTTGCGCTTGGCTAAGACACTGAAGCTTGATTCCACAACAAGGACTTAGTCTTCCATGATATGGAGCAGGACAGGACTCCTCCTCCTGGCCTAAGCCTTATACCGGCACTCCTTACTCTGGTTAAAAACTCTTGGGATAGGTCGCCTTCGACTCTCCAAATCCCACGAAAGATTGAACACCACTACAAAACTCATGGATCAGATTCGGATTTTCTGGTTAAACATCCAGTACCTACGTAACTCCATCATGGTTGAGACTACTCAATACAAGTCTTGCAGCATATCTTCTACCACACCTGTGAATAAAGAGGGCAGAAAGATCGACTCCTTTGGGGAAAAAACTTGACTCATTGGTGGCGTTACTTACTAGAATTTCAAACTACCAGGCTGCAATGGGCACTTACCAGAAACATCTGTGGGACAGAATTTTCCCCATACTTCAAATCCTTTCGAAACCATTAAAGACTGAAGCTCTCAATACCTATGCAGAGGCCAACACCCTTGCCAAGCAGCAAAGACAGGCAGCAAAGCATACCACTGACACCACCTCCAAATCTCTGCATATCTCAATAGCACTCAGACAACAAGCCTGGCTTAGGGTGGCAAACATCCTAGATGATACCAAGGCCAAAATCGAAGATCTTCCCTTTGATGCTGCGGGGCTGTTCAACTCTAAAACAGATGACATAATGGAGAACATCCATAAAATGAGGAAGACAGCTAAGTCTTGCATACCATACCAACCCTATCGGTATCAGAAGCCATCTTATAAGAAGCCATTCTACCAACAACTCCCTCATCTCAATGCGTGAGCTATATAGGAGTGCAACTAGACACCCATCAGGCAAGAGCATTCTTACCACCTGAAATAATAGCAAAAATCTGGAGGGCACTACAGCATTTTTGACCTCTCAGAACTGTCATTGCTCTCAACATTCAACACTTGTTGGGTTCCACAGCATCAGTGGTTCCCCACACCAGACTCAAACTCCGTACACTCCAATCCTGGTTCCTCTCACAATTCAACCCTGCGACGGACACCCAGCTAAAGAAGCTCCTGGTACCGCCAAATGTGGCAGAGCAACTTTAAGTTACATTGGCTACCAGTTGCTGCCCGGGCCCAATTCAAAATGCTTGTTTTGACATATAAAGCCCCAAATGGCTTGGGCCCTGGATACCTGAAGGACCGCCTCCTTCCATATGAGCCTACCCAGCAGTTAAGATCTAGCGAGGGGGCCCTTTTGAAAGAGCCAACCCTCAAGGAGGTAAGAGGGATGGCTTGTAGACAAAGGGCCTTTTCGGCAGCTGCCCCCAGACTATGCAATGCCCTCCTGACTGATATTCATCTGGGGCTGACACTGATGACATTTCGGTGCCAGGTCAAAACCTTCCTGTTCCAGAAGGCTTTTAATTGAAATAACATTAACTGTGGGTCCTGATGGCAATTTTTAGAGTATGTATTTTAATTGTATTTTAATTGTTTTATCTTTTGTTGTATTTTAATTGTTGTAAGCCGTCCAGAGACCTTTGGGTAGAGTGGGCGGCATATAAGTCAAACAAACAAACAAATAAATAAGTAAGTAAAACTCACGTGGTGGGCCTGTGCCCCCAACTTGTAGGTAGGCAGACCATTCAGGCCTCCTTACCTGTCAATCCAGGTGATGACAGATACCAGCCCCTCGGGATGGGGAGGTCACTGCCAGGAACTCCAGATACACGGCCTATGTTCAAAGAGAGAAAGAAAGCTCCACATAAATCAGCTGGAGATGTTGGCCATCATAAAGGCTTTTCAGGCTTTCCTCCCGAGGATCGAAGGGAAAGCAGTACAGCTTGTGACCGACAACACTACAGGCATGTATTACGTAAACAAATAAGGAGGGACTCGATCGCTACCTCTCCTTCACCTCACCACAGAATTTTGGGAATGGTGTTGCACCCACTGCATTTCCCCTCAAGCAATCCATATTTCATAAGAGCATAACTACTTGGCAGACCGCCTAAGCAGGCTCCCCAACAGAACACACGAATGGTCCCTCAATGACACTGTCGTCCTGGACATCTGCCGCAGATGAGGCCATTACAATAGACCTCTTTGCTTCCCCTCTCAATGCTAAGTGCCCCAGGTACTTCTCAAGAGCAGGCATAGGCATGTCATCTCTCGGGGACGCATTTATGATACCATGGTCTGGAGAACTCACTTACCTCTTCCCTCCGATACCAGTGTTGCTCAAAACAGTAACCAGGGTTATCCAGTACCGAACAGATATGATTCTCATCACCCATGGTGGCCACAACAACTGTGGTTCACCCACCTCAGAGAGATAACACACGAACTGTTCTACTTACCTGCGATACCATCTCTCCTCTCCCAGAACGACGATGCCATTCTCCATCTCGATGTCCAACCCCTACACCTGACAGCGTGGAGGATAACCCCGAATTCTGTGCAATCTTGAATCAGGCTCGGAAACCATCCATCTCTCGCCTATATCGCAACAAATAGAAATCCTTTTTGAAATTCACTGAATCCAAGGGACTTACCCCAGTCCCATAATCTCTCTCAACTCTACCTACCTTTGTCATGTATCTCTTTAACCTTGGACTGGCACATTCCACTATTAAAGTTTACATCTCAGCAATAGTAGCTCACCAACCCCTCGGATTTAGCTCTGCTAAACTTTTTTCCCACCCTATGCTCAAAAGATTCCTCAGGGGCTTAAGGAATGTTCACCCCCATCACAAAAAATTGTGCTGCAATGGTCGCTTCGGCTCATTCTTGAGGCACTCACAAAGCCGCCATTCGAACCGATGGCAACCTGTAATGAAAAGTTACTCTCTCTTAAAGTGGCATTCCTTGTGGCGATTGCATCGGCTAGGAGAGCTAGTGAGCTGGCTGCTCTCAGATCAGACTCTCCCTATCTCCAGATGCACCCTGAGAAAGTCACCCTGTACCTGGATGTGTCCTTTCTACCTGTGGTGGTGTCGGAATTCCACATGAACCAACCCATCATACTTCCGTCCCTAATCCCATCTCCATCCATACCAACTGAGCGTAAGCTCTATACTTTGGATGTGAGAAGAGCCATTGCCTTCACAGGACCACGTCTCCTCTTGTGCTATCATGGCACCGACAAGAGTGCACCTGCCTCTCCACAGACAATATCAAGGTGGGTAGTGCAATTGATACATTTGGCATATCAACTTGCAGGCAAGCCGGTACCATACCATCTCAAAGCACATTCTACCCAAGCCATCTCTACATCGACCGTTCTACATCGAAGTCTTCAGATTCAGAACATCTGCAAAGTGACTATGTGGTCCAACCCTCTGACATTTGCCAAGCACTACCACCTCAATGTCAGAGCCAAGAATGATGCCGCATTTGGAAGGGCGATCCTGTCACCTCTGTTACTGTGATGGCCCTCCATCTGGTGAGTCAGCTTGCTAATCACCCATTTGTGTGCATTCACAGAGGCCACTACGAGGAAAGTTAGGTTACCTACCTGTAACCATGGTTCTTCTAGTGGACCTCTTTGAATTCACAATCCCTCCCTTCCTCCCCGCTGTCCGTCATGGTATCGTTCGATCTACTCCATACGGTAACGGTGGAGGTGGAGCTCATACCCTGCGGGGGGGCCTAATTGTCTCTTTTTTTCCTCAGCTCTAGAATCTTCTGAACGTCCTGCACAGGCGCAGGATAAACCCATTTGTGTGAATTTACAGAGGTCCACTAGAAGAACCATGGTTACAGGTAGGTAACCTATTTTTTTAATCTAATTAATGTATTTTTATCTTCCTGATCATTGGCCATAATAAATTATTATTAGTATATTATGACCAGATGGAGGGAGATTCAAAACTTCTTTCCATGTGCACAATTAAACCATGTACAGTGGTGCCCCGCATAGCGACGTTAATCCATTCCAGGATTAACGTCGCTATCCGGATTCATCACTATGCGGGGGGGGAACCCCATAGGGAAAAACTCACAACTATGCAGGGAATCCTCCATCCGGCTGCCATTTTTGCCGCCCGGTAAGTGAGGGCAGGGTGCGAAAACGCTGCGGGCGGCCATTTTCTGCACCCGGCAGCCATTGTGGAACCGCCGATCAGCTGTTCCCAAAACATCACAATGCGAAGATCGGTAAGCGTTTCGCAATGCGATGTTTTGCCTATTAAAACATCGCAATGCGATCGCATTAGCGATCACAAAAAATGTGTCGCTATGCGGATTCGTCGTTAAACGATGCGGTCATTAAGGGAGGCACACTGTACTCCCTACCACAAGATGTCATGGTGACCAACAACTGAGATCAGTTTTAAATTTCAAGGAATACAGAGGGATCACAGTAACTTTCAGGTTGCATATCTTTTTTAATTTTTAATCTTTGTTCTTTCTAAAAGGGGGAACTCTAAATATCATTACTATGGGATTCGTGTCAAGCCGGACTCTCCTCTTAATCGGCTGCAGGAGGACATGCAATATATGGCTATGAGACAACAACCCATGCAGCAGAAACAAAGGTAAGAATTGCCAGATTAACTGTACTGCATCTTTTACAGCTTCCTGTTTTCTTATGAAGGGGAGGGGAAGAAACAGTCCTGATAACATAGCAAGTGAAATATTTACCCAGGTGTTTCCTAAATAGGGGCAGTTTATTCAGACAAATATAGCACAAGAAGTTCTTTCACTTATATAGAACACATATTTGTGCTAAATATTCAGATAAAAATTGAATTTAAAATAAATTTTACTTTTAAAATATATTTTACTTTGAGCCATACAATAATAATTCAGTTTGGAAAAGGTGTTTTAGCAGTTTCCTCAGTTGTTTACTGTTGCAGATTCGCAGGCTGGAAACAGAAAGCTGTGGCACATGTATGGAATTAAATTTCTGTCACTTCCATTACTTCACCTAAACCCCTTGGCTTACTATTGCAAGTTTAGTATTACTATCTTGCATTCCACCTTTGCCTTCGGATTGTGTACGAGGACCACATGGCTTTTTTTTCTTTTCCACTGACTGATTGCCTTGACTCTAGTTGTGACCACCTGTTTCTGTAAGGCCTTAGTTTCACAGGAAATACAGTGGTGCCTCGCTTAACGATTGCCTCATTTAGCGATGAATTCGCATAACGATGTGTTTTTTTAGAAAATAATATGCACCGTATAACGATGTTTCCTATGGGCGATTTTCGCTTAGCGAAGTTTGGGACCATGCTTCGCATAACGAATGCGATTTTAGGTCCCCTGCTTCACTTAACGATGTTTTTTTTTCAATTAAAAAAGTGTCTTTCAATTTAAAAAGTGTCTTAGAAGGGTCCAAAACGGTTCTAAATGCTTGGATTCGTTAGAGGACCCCTTAAGTCATGTGCAAACCTGATTTGGCTTTGATCTGACGTTTCGTTAATTTTTTGTGAATTTTTGTTTTTTGGCCCATAGGAACCAATGGACCTGTCAAAATCTGACAGCTCCATGCTTTCCTATGGGGGAGAAAACAATTTACAAAAAATTAACGAAAGTTCAGATCAAAGCCAAATCAGGTTTGCACACAACTTAGGGGGTCCTCTAACGAACCCAAGAATTTAGAACAGTTGCTGAGTCTTCATTAATTTTTTGTGAATTTTTTCTTCCCCCATAGGAAATAATGGAGCTGTCAGATTTTGACAGCTGTCAAAAGTTGGGGGGAAAAAATTCACCATTAATTAACGAAAAGTCAGATCAAAGCCAAATTAACTTTTGCATCCGTTTTAGAGGGTGCAGAAGCTAATCCAAGCATTTAAAACCATTTTTGACCCTTTTATGACACACTTAATTTTGCAAAAATTGACTTCGCAAAGCCATTGAAATGTATTGAGTCAGCTACAATACATTCCAATGGAGGAAACATTGTATCGTTTAACGATGTTTCCTATGGGTTTTTTCGCTTAAGGACGGCAATCCGTGCCTATTGGAACGGATTAACCGGTTTCCAATGCATTCCTATGGAAATTGGTGTTTCTCATAACGATGTTTCACATAACGTTTTTTTTTTGAACCAATTAAAATCGTTATGCGAGGCACCACTGTACACACAACTTGGCAGTGCAAAAGGTACAATAAGCGAGTCATGCACTGGGCAGTTTTTTGTGTAAAAAAACTTTCACTGCATCAGTTCTTGTTATTGAAATAGTGAAATAAAGGATGAGGGGGTGATGATAAGTATTGAGCCTTTCCCAGAAAAAAATTGAGCTAGGAAGCTATAACTGCCACACTATTCTACATATTCCCCTAGGACTTCAATGCACTTCTGACATCTGTCCTCCAGCTTCTTAAGTCCCTGCAAATAAAATTCTTCTGACTGCTGGTGTAACCACTCATTTGCAGCATTAGTTTTCTCCAGAACACTCCCAAATCGTTGTCCCTTTAGGTGTTTTTTGAGTTTGGGGAACAGATAATAGTCAGAAGGAGCCAGGTCGGGAGAATAAGGTGGACGGGGCATCACTTGAAAGCCTAAAGACGTCAGTTTTGCCATTGTTTCACCTGCAGTGGGTGACGAGGCGTTGTCATGCAACAGGATGACTCCTTTGGAGAGCTTTCCTCAACACTTCGTTAATAAAGTACAGTAATATTTTGCACTGATGGTTGAATTCTGTTGGAGGTAGTCCACCAGCAGAGCTCCCTTCTTATCCCAAAAAACTGTTGCCATTTGCTTCTGCACCAACCTTTGCACTCGGAACTTCTTTGGCCTGGGGGAACCACTGTGCCTCCATTCCTTAGACTGTTCCTTTGTCTCAGGATCATAAGAGTAGATCCATGTCTCATCTCCAGTTACCAGTTTGCCCAGGAAATCTGACTCATTTCTTGCAAAATGTTCCAAAACAACAACAAATGACTCCACACGTTTCCTCTTTTGTTCAGTTGTAAAAAGTTTGGAGATCCACTTTGCTGCCAGCTTTCTTATTTCCAAGTCGTTGTGGATAATGGTATCAACTCTCTCACATGATATTCTCAGATATATAGCAATACCTTTGGTTGATTATGTCATGGATGGCTTTCACATTTGCAGGTACAAAGACAGAAACAGGCCTTCCACTGGGTTTCTCACTTTCAACACTGAAATGGCCAGTTTTAAGACTGACAACCCAACGTTTAACTGTTGCATACAAAGGGCCACTGTCACCCATAGTTTGTGACATTTCATCATGGATCTGCTTTGCACCTTTCCCTTGGAGAAACAAGAACTTGATTATGGTCCTATGCTCTTCCACATTGAACTTTTCTGGAAGTGCTACCATGTTCAATTTGGACCTGAACGTGAAAGATAAGCTAAAATCATATGTAGTTGATTTTTGCACCATTGAATACAGACAAATTGGCCAATACACCCTGCATTTTATAGCTTCCTAGCTCAATTTTTTCTAGGAATGGCTCAATACGTATCAGCACCCCCTTGTAATTATGGTTGATGCAGCAAAAGATGAGATGAACACTTCAGAGGGAAGTACATTTTTTGTGAGTTATACTTGTGTAGGAATTATTTCCTTTGTCCATAAATCATTATTATAACATAAAAGGACTCTTATAAAGCCCCACATTTATGAGAGATGAGTGAAATGACTTAGTTATCCTAGCAATCCGGAGTGTGCTGTGGAATCAGACTCTTATCCTTCAAACAATTCCTGTCAAACAGAAGTCAAAAGGATGTTTAAGGGTACTTATCAAAAATCCATCAGTAAAACATACTGGCTTCTAGTTTGGTCAAAAATCCGCAAAAGCATGAGCAAAATTATCTATGTGAAAATTAGTACATTTTCTTAGATTTCCAGCAATATAACCCCCCAACATCATTATGTTATGGGAAAGTATATGAGTGCTGCTAGCTGTATTCTATTTGCAGGTGGATATCCAGTGTGCTGAAGTGTTATGTAAAGTTACACTGGTGTAGGTTTGCTGGGCATTACATCCAAGCAAAGCAGACTGTGCAGTTTGACTGCACAATTAGTCATTGGCCATTGTATCCAATTGTGAAAGTGCTTTATGTACAGTGGTGCCTCACACGACGAATTTAACTCGTTCCGCGGTTAATGTTGTCTTTGTGAAAAATTCATCTTGCGAAACGCGTTTTCCCACAGGAATGCATTGAAATCTAATGAAGGCGTTCCTATGGGCAAAAAAAGTCAGAACAAAGTCAAATTTGGTTTACAAAGGGTTTATTAAGTGCTCTTTAAATCCATGAATATTGTGCAGATGATTTTTAAAAATTCAATTTAAAAAATGTAACTTTTTAAACATCGTAGAAAAACATTTAAAAATCAGCAAACATGAGGCAGGGAACAAAAAAATGGAAAACATTTGTCTTGCGAAGCATGGCCATAGGAACATTTGTCTTGCGAGTCATCAACAATTCCCCCCCCCCTTGCCAAAGCCATTTGTCTTGCGAGGCATTTGTCTTGTGAGGCATTTGTCTTGCGAGGCACCACTGTATAGCATTTCCACCTTGGCGCTGTTGCCTACTGTGTTATAGTGTTGAGTTATGCCTGTGTTGCTATGCAGCAGGATTAATTATTAGGAATAAGCATTCAAGAGGCATTATTTTGACAAATCTTTTCCCCTACCCCAATGCTGTATAACTTAATGATTATATATTTATCTATTCTGTATATTGTCAATATGTAAGTAGACAAACAATACATAAATAACACAGTATAAAAATATACAATAAAATATACAATTCAGTGCAGCAATATACTGAATCAAATATAACAAACAAAACTTGGTGTTGCTAGTACCCAGAAATACAATGCACTGTGTTGGCAGGCTCTAGCAGCTGCACAAAATGTGATCATTTTGTTGTTTATTTGGGATCCTGATTAAAAAGGAAAATTGAAATAATTGAATTTGCCTGCTGTATTTGGAAGTTTTTATAGAATGGTTTAAAAAAATTATGGTGCATCATTTACATATGGCAAGACATCTTTCAGCATACAGTATTTTTAGCATTGCTTGTCTTGTTTTTCCTGAAAATACGAAGGCTATCCTGAAAAAGTTATGTTTTTGTTACATTGAAGCAAGTGGGATTTTAGGTAGTCTTGATTTACACGCCTTGTTGTTTTTGGTTGGATTAAATAAATGGAATAGAGTTGAACTCTACATATTTATTTCAAGTAATGATTTACGGCAGGGGTTCCCAACCCCTGGTCTGAAGCCCGATCCCAGTCTGTGGGCTTGCCGGAACTGGGCCGCGGAAACAGATCTCCCCCCCCGCCCAGTGGGCATGTTGTGCTCACACAACGATGTGTTGCACTCCCCCAGGGGTTTGTCACACTCACGGTGTGCATGTTGCACTCACGCAGGGGCGTGTTGTGCTCCTGCACAGGAGCATGTCGCAGTTACGTGCGTGTGCGCAAGCATGACACCCCCCACAAGCATGGAGGTGCCCCTGCACATGGAGCCCACCCCCCCAACTGCTCCATTGTCCCAAAAAGGTTGGGGACCGCTGGTTTACAGTATGCTGAGAAGAGCCATTATGGGTGAAAAAATAGGTGAACAAAAATTGAGCATTGTGGAATACATCACTCTGTCTGAAACAATATCTTCTTCCAGTATTGTTGGAACTAGTTATTTCCATGTGGACCACATATTCTCCTTTTCACTGGAGAAAGCAAGTATAACTCAGATCTGAGGGCATTTCCCCTATTTTCTGAGTCATAGTATAATGCCAGATTGACACAATATGTATAACACAAGGTGGGCAACTTCAATAGCACTAGGAGACCAGATTTACATACCCAGCTACCATTGTGTGCAGCTTTAGGCTCAGAAATGGACAACAGTTGCAAAAAGATGAAAACAGAAGTGACTGGATGTCTGTCTTTGAAATAAATAGTCTGGTTAATATTGTTTCGGTATTGGCATGTGCTGTCGCTCATGGCAACAGCATTGCTATAAATTTAAAATTATTATTGGAGTCTAAAGATGTTTGTCTAGAAAGCTTTTCAGTAAAAGTTGAAACATTGTGCTGCATATTGCTTTTCTGGAAGAGATAGAGAAAGAAGGGATAATCTTCGCCTATGTTATGAACGATTTCAGGTACAAGCCTATGCAGAAAGTGGATGGAGTTGCAGACAGTTTCACAAGTGGTCAGCAGACAGGCACATCTGTTGAACAAACTGTAATTGCCCAAAGTCAGCATCATCAACAGTTTTTGGGTATGTGAAAGTATGTTTTCCAAGTATTAAAATCATTATTATATTAATATCTTATTATATTTGAATATTCTTAATATTTGACTAAGGAACTTAACACTTGAATTCTTGAAATAGTTCATTGTATATGCTGGGATTGTTTCACAGTAAATGTATTTTGTATTGTACCTTTTCTGTAATATTTAATCTTTTTACAATAGTTTCTAAGAAGGGAGTTGAGCTTAGCTGAAACTGCCATTCATAACTGGACCAAAGAAATTCAAGTGGATCCTATCTTATGGATAATATATAGTCTCCTAAATGGCTTAGTCTAGCCTATTAAAATACATATATAATGAGTGCTGAATAAAAACATTGCTGGCCTGGTGCATTTTTCAGAGATCTTCTAATTCTAACATTAAATTTATTTTGTTTTACCTTTTTGCATTACCAGCCTGAATTGCTAGATGTTTAGACTGACAAGAATACCTTTTGAATACTGTTAGTGCTACCTGAAGAAGACAAAGAGCTTGGTTTGGTGAAACATGCTGTTTTATCCTTGCCATGATTTTCTAGTCAGGCCTTCTTGAAAGAATAAATGCAGTTTATTTCTTACTCAATTGTCATTACATTAAAGCTCTCCTTTGGTAATATTTCAGATGAACTATTGTAACACATTGCTGGACATTTATGCACGTATTGTTGGGTGGAATGCCAAATTACACCTTTCTGCTCTTCTGTCTCAATTTCTTTTAGTATTTGAAAGCAGTTACTGACTCATACTACTGCGACATCTAGAACCAGACTATGTCTTCACTTTGGCCATTCAAAGCCTATCAATCAAAACTAATCAATTAAAGAAATGCATAGGGCGGGGTGGGCAATTAATTTCTATTGGGGGGTCACATGAAAAATCTGAACTGTGTTCGGGGTGGGTAGTAATAGCCCCCCAATTTCTGGGTAGCAGTAGCCCCCCATTGGGTGAGGCCCTGCGGTGAATGAACTACAAGGCTGACATAGTTAACTCCCTAAACTTTTTAGGGAGATAACTATGTGAGCGTTGTACTGAAATTCGTTCACCACAGTGGGGGAAAGAAAAAACCCCAGACACTGAGCTAACTCACTGTCCTCCGTTCCCCCACGGCCTTTGGCTCTGACTGTCTTCTATCCTGCGCAGGTGACGTGATGCATCATCACGTCGCCTGCGCAAGGATCTCTTCCAGCCTCTTGAGCTGCAGGCTCCGCAGCCTGTGGCTCAAGAGTAAAAGTCAAAACTCGCGAGATCCCAGCGTTGAATCTCGCGAGTTTTGCTTACTTCTGTGCTGGGTGATCGGAGCTGGAGCTCCGGCTAACTCAGCGGCGACGGGCGGGCCGGACAGGAGCGGCTCTCACGCTGTATGTGGCCCATGGGCCACACTTTGCCCAGGTCTGGCATAGGGTATAGTGGGACACAGTAGAAGTAGGTGGTGAATATGCTGGCTCAGATGTGGCTAGCAGGTTGAAAAAAAGAGTGGTTGAAATCTTGTTTCATAACTTATGCCATGTAAATCTGATATCATTATCCATGACGATTATTCAGAAATTTAAAAAATTAATTATTTCCCAGAGATCCTGAGGCTCCCAGGAGATCTCTTTTATCATGGGGAAGCTGTTGGGGACCAATATTGATTGCAGGGGGAAGGCAGTCTTGACTTTCCAAAAAACCCATCTAACAGTAAAATCATCATGGCAGCATTTGGCAGCATTTTTTGGAAATTAAGGCTTCCCCCACTTCTAGCATCCCCTAGTCACTTCTCTGTGATGAAAGGGATCCCATCAGAGCTTCAAGACCTGGGGGGGGGGGTTGGAATTTTTTAATTTCCAAAAAGTTACCACAGCTGAATACATCATCGCCTATACACATGTAGTCTTTTCAGCTAGCGTTGCTGCTGCTAAAATCAAGGAGTATTCTGTGGAAACTGGAAAAATCTCTGGTTGTGACACTTGGTGAATAGTGGCATTCTATATGAAAAATAAAATGGTGTGGGCATTAGAACTTGTCATTATGACACCAGATGTCTAGATTGAAGTAACACAGTGAACTGATGCCTACCAAAGACTGATGCCTATTAAAGACAGTATCTTGCAACTTTCACAGTAGAAGAAAATCAGTTGAACTGAGGACTAGTCTTCTAGATATTCTGTTGAATTTGTGGGAACCCAATTATAAATGTCAGTACAGCCAGAGCTCCTAATGATCTAGGCGCTGTCTGTTCCTCTCACAGCAAGGAACTACGCCTTCTACACTTTACCCCAAGATACACACGTTAAATTTTGCTAACAAAATTTCCTCTGAATTTAGAAGCAAGTGAGCTTTCTGTGAGATGTTAGAGGAACATAAGAAGATTTTCTGGATCAGGCGAAAGGTTTATGATAATATTAATAAACCTTTATTGGCATATAAAATAAAGATAGTCAAGTTAGTTTGTTAGATTTCTGGATTCACAGGGAGCATGAAACAAATATATTCGTCCAAGGTTAGGACTTCACCTCCTAACAACTGACCCAAGAAAAACAGCTACTTGTTCCATAATATCGACCACCTCCACTGATAACATAAAATGGACGTTGTCCAGATCAGATTTCCCCTCCAGCTCTAATAATATTGAGATGACATACTTTTTGCGACAGTCCTGATGAAGCAGACAGTGCAAGAGCATGTAAGGGTTTCCAAAGCACCCTGCTCACATGGACAATATCTTTTGAGATAAAGGGTTCCGTTATACCTACTATATGATATAGAACCAGGCATGACATTACATCTGGCCAGAGAAAAGGCCCTATGGTTTTGTGGACATTTAAGCAGCATGAGGAAAGCAGCTGGTTGTCCCATTTTACAGGGGATGTGGGGAGACAATGGGAAACAATACTTATAAGCTGTGCTCCATAATTCCTGAAACTCAGTGTCTATAATTAGCCTCTCCACTATTTGAAATGCTAGCTCTAGATGTATTCATGAAGGCTTTCACGGACGGGATCTAATGGTTGTTGCGGGTTTTTCGGGCTCTTTGGCCGTGTTCTGAAGGTTGTTCTTCCTAACGTTCCGCCAGTCTCTGTGGCCGGCATCTTCAGAGGACCGCACTCTGTGCTCTGATGTAGTTGGCTTGGGAGTGGAGTTTTATGGCTATGAGATGGGTTTTTGTCTTTTTCTGTAGATGCGTGATTAGTGTGTCTTGTTGTCGGTGTACACAACCTTCAGAACACGGCCAAAGAACCTGAAAAACCCACAACAACCACTAGCTCTAGACTTAGTGAACCTATAGATCCAGTGTTTAGGCCATTCAATTTCAGGTTTTAAAAAAGGGCAGTAGACCCAAAAGAAAGGTCGGACTGTTGCAGAAGCTGACATAATAAGCTGTCTTGGTCTCAGATATAAAACATTTTTAGCCAGAATTAAAAAGTTCTCAGCCATGCCATCATTTCCAGTGTGGATAGTCTGGTCTCAAGACAGAGTACTGAGTGAGGAACACACCTCGGTAGGCCAAATACCTCGGTAGGCTGAATACCTTACATAAGAAATGGGATTGTAGCTGTTCAATTGAGCGATCCATGGCATTTTGGCAAATTGGGATGCTATACAGAATTTGTGGGGTAATTTTAGATTTTAAAATGTGTAGGGCTGCCGGGACATGTCAGTGTTTGCCAGGGTTGTAATAAAATCAAAGTAAGGACTGCACAGAAAGCCTGCCTATATTTAAAATTGATCTGCAGCAAGGAACCCAGGAATGTTTATAGTGAAAAAGAATACCTAAATATTTATACTGTTTAGCTGTTCGATATTGGTACCAATTAGTTTCCACTGTAATTGCTTCCAGGACTTAGCAAAAACTTTTAGACTTGTTATAATTCAATTGCATTTTGTTTTTGTCCAAATACTCCACACATCTATTAATCAAGCATTTCAGACCAAGACGAGTGTGAGATAAGAACAGTATCCTCCACATAAAGCAGTAGTGGAACAGAATATATCCCTAACTTGGGAGGGGGACCATCTACGTTCGCTATATAAGGAGCTAGATCATTCATAAAAAGGTTGAACAAGGGAGCAAGGATAGATCCAGCGTCATGTTCCCACAGTGGTGTAGCAGATGCCTATGAGCAGGCAGCAGACTAGGCAGTCTCTTGCTTGTGTTCCTCAACAGTGGCTATTCAGAGGCACAGTACTCTGATACTAGGAGTAATATGTAATTAACAGGGCTAGCAGCCATTGAGAGCTGTGTTCTCTATGGATATGTTTGACTCCCTTAGTATCCAAATTGGTGAGCTTCTGCATCTTGTAGAAGCACATTTCTCAGCTTAATGATAGAATCATAGAATAATTGAATTGGAAGGGGTCTATAAGGCCATAGAATCCCACCCCTTGCTCAATCCTTCATGAAGAGGTACTTCATTTTTACCTGATCTGAGTCTCCTGCTGTTCACTTCATTGCATGCCTCTGGGTATTAGTATTAAAGAGGGAGAAAAACATATTTCTATCCACTTTCTTCAGGCTATGCTTAGTTTTATATCTCTGTTACTTGCTTTTTTTTCCTGAACTAAGTAGCCCAAATATTGAAACTTTTCCTTATAGAGGAGATGTCCCAAATCTTTGGCCATTTTCCTTATAGAGGAGATGTCCCAAATCTTTGGCCATTTACTCATTTTTGTAGCTCTTCCAGCATTATAATTTTCTAAGGTGCAGAGTTTAGAACTTTACACAGTATCCCAAGTCTGGTCATTTTGTAGATATGTATAGTGTTTCTTTAAAATTCTTAACAATGCCAAAGAGGAGATTTTCCTTTTTCAGAGCAGTCGCATAATATATTCAACCACAGAAGGCCCAATAGTTATACAGTGGACCCTCTACTTACGGAATTAATCCGTATTGGAGCGGTGGCTGCAGGTCAAAAAGTCTGTAGGTCGAGTCTCTATTGACCTACAATGCATTGAAAACCGATTAATCCTGTAACCGGCCGATTTTGTTCTATTTTTGTTCCATTTTGGT